GTGGGTGTGTGCGATCTAGGGTGTGTGTGTGTGTGTGTTGTGTGATGTGTGTGGTGTGTGGTCGCTGTTGTGTGTGTGTGCGCGACATGTTTTACCGTCCAGTTTTCCTTGACTTAGGTTTTGTAGACCAAACTAATGTGGACCATAGCAGACTGTGCTGTGTGTGTGTGTGTGCGCGCGCCATGTTTTACCTCCAGTTTTCCTTGATTAGGTTTGTAGACCACTTGTGGGCAGTCCTGCAGGATGTTGCTGTACAGAATCCGGAAGTGCTGAATATTGTCTTTGACAATATTGGCCACCTTGGATTTATCTTCTCCAATCACCATTCGAAAATCCCCTTAAGATACACAAAATGGTTTCCCTTGAGTATTTATATTTGATGATATTTTTATGTAGTACCGAACTCTAGCAGTAACAAATTCCTCCTTCTGCTCCTGTAGTTCCACTCCTGTGTTAGCACATTCTTAACATGTAAACATTTGTAGGGTCAACACGAAGCAGCATTTAGCTGCTTCAGTTTCACATCATTACATCTGAACAAATTAAAGCAGATTAGTTTGGTGTCTTGAGGTACAAGAACCATCAGTCTAATTACCATTCACACACACCAGCCAGCTCACTCAGAACCCTGCTGAGACAGGGATTCCTTTAACAACCTGCATGTTGGATCGCACCGTACTTGCATTTGTATTCAAAGTTTTTAAACCACACAAGCCATTATTACCAAGAAAACCACAAGCTTGGATATCATTCATTCTGCTGAATAACAATGATAAGAAGTGTGTGTGTAAATGTAGACATGCTTATCTTATCTTATGTGTAATTATTAATATCTTTTCTGATAAATTTGTTTCCAAAGTATTCATGTATCTTGACCGTGTTTCATTTTCTTCAGGGTATTGTAGTTGTGCGAGCTAGTTACCAGCGTATGAAAGACCAGCTATCTGCAGGAAGAGGTCTTCCTCAGTGAAGCTCTCCGGGAGCATCAGGAAGGAGGCGGTCACAGCACTCTTCAGGTTGGCTACCAGAGCAGCACGGAGCTTTCCATTCTCACTCTGCACAAGCATTTTCACCTGCACACACATAGGCATGGATGCTAACATTTGGGCACTTACATTTTTGCAAAAATTTAACTAAATAGGTTGTATTTTGTCAAATGTGCAACTACAACTACAAGACTGTCCCGTATCCTTTGCATAAACATAATCAATTGCAAGAAAAACATTTGACTTGACAAAGTTTTTCTGTTTCATCCATCTGAACCGATACAGTGGTCAGCTGATATTGGCCAACCGCAAACATATCCGTACTGTATCGGTATATATGGTGTTTATATTGGTGTCACTGCAAAGTTTATCCAGCAGAGTGTGCTGTGATTCACCACACTGCACTGTGGCAAACAACACAAAGTAAGAGGGAAGGAAAAAAATCCCATATCGGTCAGTCTCCATGCAAAACAGTCTGATCGTGATACTGACTGGTTTGTGAAGGCGTCCAGCAACATACATGGTCTTCCAGTGCATCAGGTCATCTATCAGAGATTCTGTGCTAATTACACCATATTTGATTATCTGAGAAGACAAAAAGAGGAGAAGGTTATTGAAGTGTGTAGTTAGTAAAGTCTGGTCAGACTAAAACAGTAAATCGAGCTTAGATAAAGATTTAGGAGCCAGATGCATTTTAACAACATATGCATTATAATTTAAAGAAAAGGTCTGTCCAGCCTCGGACTCAGCAGCTACTCTTACATTACGTCTGCCAACAGCGATTATTGGTGCTCAAAACACTAAAATCAGACCAATTACAAAAAACAATTCTTGTGAGAAGCAGAAGAAACTCACGAGGAGATTTCAGTATTAATTGAGAACTGAACAGCTACACAGGACGCAGAAATATAAAACATTTACCTTCCCATCCACAGGCACCAGCGTGTTGTAGTACACCGAAGCTCCGTGTTCATTTTGTATGGAGCTGATAGTCTTGGGCCCGAGCAGCTTGAGGATGGAGTAGTGTTTGCGATTCTGCAGCAGATTCATGGTGTGCCACGTCACCGGGTCGTCCACCGCGATCACAAAGTCCAGCATGTTCTTCTGTATGTATTAAAGGTACAATAGACAGTAATAGTGTGCAGTGAGTGAGGCAATAATCCAGGTTCATAGTTTATCACCTTTCAGTGCAATCATATTGTGATGATATGATCACTTTGTGTTAATAAAAGATTTGTTCTCCAAATGAATGTTTGTTTTGGTATTATTAGTTATTGTTAAACACGTGTGAAGAGTTTTGTCTCATATAAGGCACAACAGTTTGTTGTACTGAAAACTATTTGATTATCTAATGGAATATTTTTGGAACAGATATTTGGAAGATAAATATTTGGAATAATTTGTTATTGATTGTGCACATCCATTTTAATATAGCATATATTGATTTCCAATATACTCATATCAATACAGGGATATTGACTTCAACAATATTGCCTAACTCCTAACATTAAGCAATTGTCACTGTTGTGTGGGAGGCTGAAAAAACTACAAACCCCAGTAACAGTGAAAAACCAAACAAATAAAAGACAATACAAAAGACAGGACAATTCAGGAAATAGAGCACGATAACTATTAAGTATTAGTCTGACTGTATTTATGAAAGCATACATAAGCAGTACTTCACTGTCACTGTAACGTTGTGAGCAGAGTTTGGAAACAGGACAGGTGTCACTAACCTCCATTTGACCTTGGTTGGTCCCGTGTTGTTTAAAAACACCAGATCCATAGGCAAAAGCCAGAGTGATGTCTTGGGGAAACTGTGACAGAATCCGTCTGTAAAGCACGCCGGTGTTGTGCAAAGCTGGAAGAGTCATTTTGACCTCGCTACGATAGCTTTCGAGCTACCTTACAAGCGGGATAACGGACTAAATAACGTATAAAACGAACTGTCGGCCGCGCAAAGTAAGAGATACATTTCAGACTGAGGCGACCAGTGCCTCTAAACACGACCACAGCTACAGAATACCACTAAAATAATCCGTTTTTATCCTTTAAATACTTCCATCAGGTGAGTTTGGGTCAGCTGTGTGCTTGACAGTCTCCTAAAATAGACGTCACGGAGTGTGTTGACGGCTGGAGGCTCACGGGAAATTGAGTCAAAGATGAAAGGTGAGCGCCTCAGTCGTTACACTGTCGTCAAAGAGCCTAAATAAAGGCTGCTGTGCGGGTTGTGACTCAATGTGGTCGTGAAATGTAAACTGGGCAACACATTTTAGAGTTTTAATTTTTTTTTAAATCGAAACAAAAAAAAGAAATGTCTAAGTTCAGCCAGCAGAGGGTGGGTTTCGACCAGGTTCAGCTATGTGGCAATGAGGTAATGCTGATTTGTATTGATGGTTGAGTACAGACGCTCTCAGCTGCAGCATCCAGTATCTGCTGTATTATACAGTGTGAAAAAAAGAATATATATATTATTATTAATTATATGAAGTTAACATGAAGCCACGCCATCATTTCACTTTTTGTCTTTGACTTTTTTTAATTCTGAAAAAGTATTTCCACTTTTGAGTTATTTATTTTCAGGAGTTAATAATAATTGTGAGTATTTAAATACACACAGATATATTTAGCTTTCATTTGATGTCTGAAGTTTGTTTTTTTAATCAAATCATAGTGGCTGTGCCAACCTGAACAATCATAAAAAAAACATTTTAGTTTGTTTTCATTTTGTGAAAAAAAAGAATAGACTTAATATAACTTCAATGCCTGCGCTCATTCAGTTAATACATTTAGATGCGATATGAAATTTCAGCACCACAGAAAAATTTCACAAGTGTATCGTAACTGACGATGACCAGCACGTGAACTTATATTAAGTCTATTCTTTTTTATATATGATATTGTAAAAAAAAATCTATGAGAATTGAATCGTCCTGACATGATAATGATGATTGTTCCTGTCAGCATCCAGAACTTCATACATTTGCAGCAGTGTTTTGGACTCGAACCTCTGGAGATATTAAATAAAACCTGCGAAAGCAAGGCAGATACTGCAGTTAAACGTGACATGGAAACAACAACAACATTTTCTTGCTTTTTTTCTTGACTGTGAGATTTGAAATACTGCAGCAGTAAAAAGCTGAAAACTCCTGTGAGGACAGTCTTCCCCCCGCTTATAGGCCCGATGCTTACATCTATTTGAATGAATTAATATTGAATGTGCATTCATGACAGTTAGCAATATGTCTGCAGCTCATTATGGGATTGTCAAGAGCAGGACAAATATTATGTTCTCAGTAATTGCCGTGAGCCATCTTTTCAGTCAGATGAATATTGATAAGGTCACTAAATCCTGACTAACAAGTTCTCTCGCTCTGTGCCTTAATTCACAGACAGTGAAGCACCAGCCTGAGTAAAAAGGTATTTTTTCCATTTTTTTTACTACATCTTGTACGTGTTGAATTAACATTTTGTGGTCATGACCCTAAGAGATCTCCATCAGTCCATATATGTTCTCTCGCCTCCAGCTATGTTTTATAATCAGTGTTTATTTTGTGAATCCATAATATCATCCCCGCTAATAGGATTCATTCTGTTACGTATGTAAGTGTAACACAATATCACACAGCATGGGATGTGACTGTCAGTAGTGTCAGTAATGTAGGGTGTTGGTGGGAGCAGTGTTACTGTTGTAGAACGCATTTATAAGCAAAGGAGAAACAAAGGCTGCCACATAACCAAAGAGGGTGCCTGCAGGGAGAGAGTGAGTAACAAAGCCCACCCGAAAGCATTGATTACCAACCTGTAAACAGTGAGGTGAATTATTAGAGCACTACTAAACAGGTAACAGCAGGTTTTTCCCACACTGTCCACTTAACCAACATACTAAGTCCAATAATTACTTTCCTTAAAGCTCTGATTGGCTCTCTGAAAACTCCTAAGGGAAATCTCTATAACTCTTTAGAAACTATGTTCACCTGCTAGTTGCTAACTTTCTGTGCCATGTTGTCCTGGGCAGGGAGCATATAGCATACAGCATATAGAATATAGTGGGTAGGGCAGTTTAAACCTGCAAAACATCACTTTTTAATGTGATAGCAAACAGTTGCTTATTTACACATACAGCAGTTATGGAGCAACATTATCGTTCATGTTTCTGGCCACCTGGTTAATGAAAGTACACACTCTTTGTCTGTTTTTGGTCTCCACCCACTCCTGAGGGGAACATCTGGCTCTTTGGCTGCCACTAACTGTGTCCGGTTGCCGTTTAATGCTGAGCAGGTAGTGTACTGTAGGTTTTTAGAGCCTTTTCACTGGAAAGAGCTGCCTGCTGTGGACGAAAAAACACATTATGACAGCAGTGAGAGTGAATCAAAACAGTTTCTGTACGGTCCAAAGTTGTATACTGCTCAACTAAACAATAAGTTGGTACTCGCTATGAAGCCCTTTTAACAGTCCCTCCAGGATTTAACATTTTGGGGGATTTTTGTGGCCTAAAATGCCTGATTTTGTGCAGTTTTTCTAAAATATTACAATGCATGTTGCAGGACAAAGTGGAAACTGTAAAAATAGGTGTGATACATTTTTTCATTGAAGGAAACTTGTGAGAATAAAACAGTTTGAAGTGTTCTAAGTAATCTTAAAGAAAAGGCTCATAAAAGATTGTGAGGGTAAATGTAAGACGTTATCGTCTCGCACATGTCTGCATCTTCACAACTAGAAACGAGAAAGTGAGTTTGGTGACGTATGGTTCAACCTTTTGCCCTTTTGGATAAAATGGCAATGTCGCGCAGAAGTCACAGGGATTGGTTGAATTTGCGTCAATTGTTGTGATCGCAACATAACTTGCTGGTGTGAATTGTTTAAAGCTGTAAACTTATTTAATCGCAAGGTTTAGTGGGCTCCACAGATCTAGTGAGGCAAAGAATTCACAGCTTTTCTATTAAAGCAGTCCGCCACTCATCTATTTCTGTTAAGCTTGTGAAGCGACAGCAAACGGGTTGCAAGCAAGTAGACAGGAACAATGGCTTGTAAATATATATCGCTAACCACCGTGCGAATCCTGCCATCACACCTCAATCTTTCCTCACAGTGCTTGTGTGGGCCAGTGTGAAACTGACTGAAGTGATTGGAATGAAATACTTCCGCTGTAACTTTCGGTTTGGAACAAGAACAACAAATTATACTGAATCAGTGTTTGTGGTAATTGCGCATTGATTTTCCAATTTTTATTGATTTAGGCGTTGTTTCTAACCCGTGTATTAGTCTGAAAGTGGCACATGATTTGCAGCTAACGGTACCTCTCCTTGAGTTTGAGAGGCTGCCTCAGGAAGAATTTATTTGGATGTCTGCAGCTTTGATAGGTTGACTGGCAAAGACCCAGACTGCTGTTCAGCTTGCAGTTAAGTGTTGCTGTTCAAATATAAATATCTGTCAGTCTCTTAGTTCGCAGAGATTTCAGAAAGCAGGCATATTATAATAAAAGAAGAAAGAAGAGGAATACTGAAAGGTGCCACTCCTCGGAGGCAATTTAAAGCTCACCTGATAGTAATACGCCAGCTTGCTTACACACATATCCTCCGTGTGAGAGCATAGACACTGTCACAAACATGCACACACACACACGCGCTATCCAGGAGAATCTTTTCAGCTTTTGCACGCCTGTTGCCATGGCGATTGCCATTGCTGCCCGTGCCTAGTGAAGGGACATCAAAAGAAAATGCACCATTAATCTCACACACACACACACACACACACACACACCATTGTACACACACTGTAGCTGCACAGCTGCTCCAGGCCCCCACAAGCAGAGACAAATAGTAGCATCTACTTTTATCTTATTTCTGAAGGGTTGAAGTGTCACCGAGCAGTTCCGTAATATTCATAATATGGGAGTCAGAAGCAAGTAAAAGCTGAACTAAAATGCCTATTTGAGGTAAAATCAGACGCTGAATAACAATGTTAATATTAACAGTACACTTCAGGGTCGTACTGCACTAATTTTAATCTTAGTTTGAAATTGATCTCACTTTTTTTAATGGCACAAATGCTTAAATGATTATATAGAATGTATAAACACATAATGTAGGTTTTAGTGAAAGAGTTCATGTAACAAAAACATGAGGGCCCTTGATAGAAATTGCCATAAAATCAATATGTGATTTCAGACTTGATTACTCCAAGTACATTAGGTCATTGGTTGTTTCTAACACACACAAACACACACACATACATGCACATATTAATCCCATCCAGTGATCTATGAATGTTCCACTTCCTCCTACTGGCCTGTGTTCTAAATAAATACCTTGAATTCAGCTAGATTTTAACTCCAAGAGTCTGAATGTCAGGCCAATGGCAGGCACATGTTATTTTGCCAAATGAATTGCAAATTTATACCATTATTGCTTATATTTTATTTGTGTATTATTTTATATGCGATAGCAGAGGTGTAGACTCACAATGACTCTAGACGACTCGACTCAACTCGCAGCTAATGTGAACGCAATTTATTCTCAGCAGGTTGACACTTAATTCTCCAGATCCACTTAGTTTGAAACAATCCGACAGCATCCAATCACTTTGCAGGAGAGAACCACGAAGAACTAACTTTACATTACTGAGCGCCAGTTGGAAAAAATGAAACCAAAGATAATGTTTTGTTCATTCCATTGTTGTTGTTGTTGAGCTAATTATGACTTGTTTGGGATTCTAAACTCGAATTTTAGGACTTGGGACTTGTTAGTCTTGACTCAGACTTGAGTGCAAAGACTTGAAACTTACTTGTGACTTGCAAAACAATAACTTGGTCCCACCTATATGATATAGTGACCATTGGATCAAAAGCGTAGTAACAGAGAAGAGTTAGAAAATAAATTTTTTCACATGTTATTACATACAGTAGGTGTGTAATGCTAGGGAGTCCACACGTTTATGATCATGTTGTATACGCTGTTGTATTTAAGTTATGTTATGTTATACATTTTTGTAATTCATGGAGGAAATCTTTGCTTGTACCTTTCTTTATTTGTGGTATGAACTGTTCATCAGTATGCTGATTTATCATTACTGTAGTTTTATTATTGTTGTTGCTATGACAGTTTTGAATCTTGAATTTTGCGTTGTGCCTAAAAATATACAGTACAACTCGGCTTATCGCAATAATGTCAGCATCAGTCTCTTCGGGAAGTCACACACTGTGTGTGTGTGTGTGTGTGTGTGTAGTTGTTGTAGTGTAGGTGTGCATAAACCTGGTAAATGGTGTTTTGGGGGATTTGCTGCACATATCTGAGTGGTGTGTGGGTGTTTTAATCTTGTGGCTCCATCCATCCACACAGCACTGTTAAAGTTCATTCAGAGAGCTATTGTTTAAAATGGCTCGACTGAATCTCCACTATTGCCTAAAGTTTCAAAGACTAGTATAAACATTTTAATGTTTCTGAGACATTTTTTATGCAAGAGGCACAGTGTGGAGATTTCTGTGAAGGATTACCATTGTAAGATCTTCCTGTTAGGACAGGAATAGACTGTCATTTATATAATACGTAGCCCCATAGTAACTCTGTTATTTCCTGGGTTGAACCCCCTGTGTTTTCAATTAACCTGCCAGTGCATCTGACATTACTTCCCGCAATGCAAACTTCCATTAATTCACTTTTATGCTTCAGCATTAGCCACCCTGTTAAATCTAGTCATTAAAAAGTCATTTATCAATTGAATAAAACTTAGATTGAGTTGAAATTGAACTGAATAATTCATTGCAATATTTGAATTTGTAATTGTTTGCCTGCGCTATTGAGGTTGTAGCATGTATTACACCATGTTATGTCCATGCCAGATGTGCCCGGAACTCAAGTGTTGTAATTCTTAATTATTATTAAGATTATCGAAATTGAGCCAGTGAAGCCACAGGAGGTTTGAGCCTTACATATTCAGCCACACACGCTCGGATATCTACTGCAAATGCCCCAAAGCATTATTTAACTGGACCCCTGCACACACCACACAACTACTACTACTACACTGAATGAATTAGTGTTAAATATAATGATTCATTTCATGAATTGGTGCAAAATTACCCACACTTTCAGTTAGTTGCAAAATTCCAGTCTTCTTGTGTATGTGTGTGCAGGCATACTGATCTTAACGGTGATGACACTGGAAACAGAGAGAGGGCTGGGCGCATAAAGGCTGAATGCGTTTGTATGTCAGCATCTGTGGTTTTGTGTACATGCCAGTGAGTGTGTGTGTGTTAGGATGTGTATTTGTGTATATGCCCATGTGTGTTGACAGATGAGTGATGCTCCCGGCATTGTGCGTCTGCTGTATTGTTGGTGTGTTTCCTCCAACGCAGCAGCACAGCGCAGATCATATCATACTCTCTAAGCTGTGGCTACACCATACTTAACAACACACACTCAGGGGAAAAGAGAGGAGGAAACAGGAGGACGGTCGGGGGCTATTCTTTTTCAGTCAGGGTACTTCTTTTTTCAAAGGATGATTAAGGCAAATTATGTGTGCTATAAATACTACGAGTGTTCTCGTAAATAGTAGTGCAAAGTAAACAACAAAAAACACACCACTTGAGCCTCCTTCTAATGCACAAATTGCCACTGTTTAATCTTTGACTCCGTCTCCTGCATAATTTTATGCACACACGTATTATATAATGGCTGTTTGGAAATGTGTTGTGTATGTGTGTCATGAAACATGTAGGCCAGGATGAGCTTAGGATGTCGCTACAGTTCACACTGCAGCTATGTGACTCACTCCGGCTCTCTTCTGGTTGACTAAACACAGCCCCCCCGCCTGCCCCCCACCTCACTGGACTTGACTCCTCTTCGTGACTTGCTACAAATGTGCATCCTCCTGCATGTTATGCAAAACTCTCTTTTAAGGACTGAACACGGGTTGATTTATTAAATATTTTTACAACACTATTTTCGATTTCACCACAGCGTTGCTTGCGTTCGAAGAACGATTCATATACTGACATATTTCTTTGGACGTGTCGTGTTTTTTTTTCACCAATGTGTAAGAAAAAATGTGTTCACCTATTTTCTGTTATCAGCACATTTTCTGACACGCTTCACATCATATACATTTAGATGCACCCTGGAGGGATTGGTCTTAATGCTTTAAAGCAGTCCACATCTCTGTAGCGGTTTGATGTTCAACTGTTAAATCCTGAAAAGGGTGCATAAAAGGTGAGAGATGGTGGCTGATGGGATATGGTGCAGTAATCTATGTGGTACTCGCCCCTCATGTGGAAAAAAACCCAAATTATGAGTCACTCAGAAGGAGGTTCAAAAAAGATATGGCCATGTGAGTGGTTCAGAGTGAGGCTGAAAAGCAGCCATTCAATGGCATAAAGGTCAAGGAATACATTTCCATCAATCGAGATAGTATCAGTGCTAACCAAATCTGTACTGAAAATGGAAGCTGACATTTTCTATAAAACCTCAATGCTTGATGCTAAATGAGCAGTCAAATCTGATAAATGGGTTGAAGAAAGTCTTTTAAGGAACCAATTTAAAACAATATGGAGGTACTGTAGGTCTGTATTTTCTTCTCCTGCAGTTTTCCGTTGCCAAGCTGTTCTCCTTAGTGTGGTGCAGACGTGTGTGGGATTTTCCTCTCTGTTGAATAATCTTTCTCCTTCTTTGTCATCTTCTGGCTGTTTTTTTTTTTTTTTTGAAGTAAAGCTTACAGGGCAGACGCAGCCAGCTGCTGCTGCTGCTGCTGATGGCATTTAGCAATTGTGCCCTTCTCATGACTTGAAATAGGGAATGCATAATGAAGCCAGACATAGGGAGGAGATGTTTGTTTAGGCATAAGAAGTAAAAGAGACACAGAAACAAATAGCACAGAGCGGTATAGAAAAGTGTATGAAAACTGTATCTACTTGACTGGAAGGAGTGTATTTATTTCTTATGTGACACCTCTATCATCCATGCTGGGAAGTCGAGCTTTGCCAGAAGTGTGTGAGGACTATACAGATGCAATCAAAGAAATCTATCATTTTGGTATCCTTAGTAGTTGCTAATTTACATGTTGATGCTGCAGTGCCCTTTAGTGAAATCATTAGAACAATCTTACTTCAATAATAACAATTACAGATCCTATTGCAGAGATGAAAGGATGATGAAAAATGCATCTAAAATCATAATGAGCACTAAAGGCTGCCACCATTACCTCCACGTACTAATTTCTCAGGCTGCATAACAGGACACATTACTGAGGAGCGACACATTCCAGTGGAGGGAATTATTTGACCAATTTAATCAGTTGATCAGTCCTCCTCTCCTCCTTTCTTTGTGTTCCTACCATCCTACCTGTGATGGTTTCATCATAGTAGATTAGATTACAGATCAACCCTGCCCTCCATTATCTCATCATGCTTTTAATGGCAAAACATTGGCATTAGCACATTCTCACAGTGGGGAGTTATTTTTCCAGTTCTACGAGAACAAACCCGCTAGAAAATGTATCGGCAGTGTCACATACGTGAGCAGAGGGATAAGGGATGAAAAGGAAGACAGGTTGAGAAGGAGCGTGGTAAAGATGGATGGGTGGTTGCAGAAGGAGGTTGGGCTTGCAGAGCAGGGTGGATGGTGTTTCCATCTGTGAACTCCACCTTGTGCACGCACGCAGGAAACCCCTTCCAGTGGTTGCACACGGCACGCAGGGCTACAAGGCTGCAGCACGACACACACACGTAGCCTGTGATGTAGGAGGATGATGACAGGAGAGAGGAGGGGGAGGGGGAGACAGCGTGCCGAGTGAGAGAGTGAGAGAGAGGGAAAGGGCAGAGGGAGCGTGAGCGCGTGAAAGGGTGAGATAGGCAGAGAGAGCAGCATCTCTTGAGCGCATTCAGCTCGCAGCAGCTCAGGAAGCAGGAAGGCAGAGTAGAGGGGAGGAGAGCACCAGCACCTCACCGAAGGGGGCGACACCACACCTCTCTCTCTCTCTCTCTCTCTCTCTCTCTCAAACACACACTCTCACACGTCACAGATTTGTGAGGAGGCGTGAGGTACAGGAGGAGGACCACCACAGACACGCGCGTTGTTTAGCTGGCTTAGCTGTGCTTTGGAGAGCTGTCTCTTGAAGACTGGACCAGAGCTGTATCCATCGCTTCATCCATCCTTTCTTTCCTTCCTGCTTTCCATTCCTCCAACACAGAAGCAGCTCATGGCCACCTACCCCCTCGAACATTTGGACTGATTTGCTCTCTGTCATTCATCTAACCTCTGGTCTCTCTGTAACCATCCCTGCCTGTCTCTGCTTTTATTCCATTCACAGCCAAGACATCAAGAGACACACTTAAAGAAGAACTAACCGACCGAGCTTTCGACCGCAATCATGAACTTCCTCCGACGCCGTCTCTCGGACAGCAGCTTCATGTCCAACCTTCCCAACGGCTACATGACAGACCTCCAGAGGCCTGACCCCCCTGCTCCTGTTCCTCCCACCGCCTCCTCTCCATCCCAGCAGGGTGCAGCCCCGGCCACGGCGCCTGCTCCTGCCCAGTCCCCAACCAAAGCTCCAGCACTGTCCCAGGCGCCAGCCAGCTCCCCCGCACCTCAGGAGCGGCGAATGAGCCAGCAGGCTCAGCAGCCTCAACAGGCCCAGTCCTCCTCCTCCTCCGGTGGCTCCTCTGGTTTCTTCAGCTCCTTCAGCTCCATCACCAACGCCGTCAAACAGACGGCTGCGTCTGCCGCCGGGTTTGTGGAGCAGTCAGCTCCCTCTCCCTCCCTCTCCAAGAAGTTCAAGATCCTGTTGATCATCGATGAGCCCCAGCATGAGTGGTAAGTATTAAGATGCAAGTGACTTTAATGATGGGTTGAGTGTAGTCCAACTGACTGGTGGGAAGTTGATGTAGTCGGTGGTTGTGTGAACTGGCACGCTGTTTCAGAGTTTATGGGATGCTCTACAGATTTGGTGTAAAAAAAAATGTTTGCTTTATAGTCAGCCAGAAGGAACATGATCTACTGTGTGGGTGCACTGGCCTAATGCTGATTGACTTGTGTAATTATGATTGATTTTAATCTCACATGAATCCTGAAATGAATTCTTACATCCTTATGTCTTATTCTGTTTCTTTTTGTTTGTGTTCTACGTCTTATTGAATTGTATTCTCTCCTCTCACTGAAGCTGCTCCCAAAATAGAAACCATTCTGTTAATCTAAACAGACAGGACAGATTTTCTCTGGGGTTTGGATTCACACATCCCACCACCCAGCACTGTCACCTGCCTCTGTTTTTATGTGTTTATCTGAGCCTTTATGACGCCATGTGTTGGCACATTTATACTTATGTGTGTGTGTGTGTGTGTGTGTGTGTGTGTGTGTGTGTTAGAGAGCTATGAAAAAGTGTTTCAATCCCTTGACAGCACAAGTTGGATAACAGGATATTATCCTCATGCTATCAACTCATACATACATGCATTCAAGAGCATGTAGCTCTGAGTAAAAACATTACCTTCTACAAGTGAAATTTAAGCCCTCAGCTCTGTAATAATGTTGCTATCCCATTGGCCGCTTTCTGTTCCTGCAAATCACATTTTCAGGCTATAAAGGTTTTCTGTGCGGATGTTGATGATGGATTTTACAGCCATTCATTGCTGTCATTATCTCAGTATAGTTCATCTTGTCAACCTTCTATTGGATGGCTATGTGATAAAGTGGCGGCCACACGAGACACTTTTGACCTTTTCAATTTAAAAGAGGTGCTGGAGTGTCATGAGATGGCAATTGTTTAGTATTCCACATACAACTGAGTGTGTTTACTGTTTCACACCAAAACCATGTGATATGATCAAAAGCTGAGTGAGTGAGTAAGTGGACCATGAGTTGAGATTGTTGCTGTTTCCAAGGTCAAAAAGGAAGTGGAAAGTTTTTAAGCCTACAAGGAGGAGAGGTCCTAAAGGGGTTTAGACTCTAGAGTTCAGTGACAACTGAAGCTCAAAAAAAAAAAGCTCAAGAACAGGTTGAGATCGGTTTGCCAGCTTTGAATCAATGAATGCAATTGAAAATACACCTTGATAATTGCAAAGATAGAATTACCAATTCTAGTTCAGTCAAATTTTTACATATAAATATATTAAAACATGCTTTAGTGCCCAGAAAGGATAGAAAATACATCCCTCTTTGGGATCTTGCCCTTGTAGGTGTCTGATACTGAGATTTAAGTGTCTGCAAAATGAAAAATGCTAATACAACAAAAGCATTGTCACCGTTCTGCATTTTGGCTCAAATTCCATTCTCTTTAAATGGCTACTGTGCAGTATTTCAATTCCATAATACTGTCTGTGCATAACATTATCTGTATTGCTGGCATCTGTTTTGACATACACTGGGCCATGTACCATTGTACAGTAAGTGTAAGTACTGTCTGAGTTACAGACTTACAGACTGGTGCACAAAATGGACTGAATTGTTTTCACAGTTTAGTGCAGTGGATATGATTTCCAAAACAATCAGCACAGGATTATTTCAGAAACATTGCATTATGCATGTGTGGATACATGCATGAGTTCTGAGGTTTCACAACACTGTACTGACTGAATGTGACTGTCAGCTCTACATTATGGTAATCCCGAATCTCTTGCTGTGAGTGTTTTGGTGGCTTATGATTGAATGGCTGCCACCATCGTTATGTGGCAGTGTCTGGATTCAGAAAAGAGGTGCTTGAACCCAATTTCAATACCCAATGCAATCCTGCTTTTATGAAATATGTAATGACCACACATCAGAATTACATATATAATATGCTTTTTCAGACTCTGATGCTGATTGGAATTAACAATGTGAGACTCGTGAGATTGCGCTAGAATCTGTCATTCCAGGCTTCAAGTTATGCACTTGTGTCCAAACAACAGTGGTCAGACTGACCAGCGCCCTATGAGGAGCTTCTGGCAGTAACAGCATGAGCTATGGGTTAGCAGAAGTTAGCATAGATGCTGCTAGCTTCAGTTATATCAGAACTGGAGAGTATTTCTTCATTGAAAAAAGAGAAAAGAACGGCACTGAAGGCTTTTCTGTTTTGCTTTCCTTTTTCTCCTGACTGGCTCGGTTTGACATCGTTATGTTTCGTTGATCCGTTTGGTTGAAGTTCACCTGTGATAGACGGTGATAGACAGATTGTTCATCCAATCACATATTTTTTGAAAGCCCTTTTCCAAACAGTTTCCAACGCCGACTTCCAAGATGGTTCGGTGTAACCAAACATCTGCCACAATCAGGGGCCGATCACACAGAGACGCACCGCTACAGGCACGGCTGCTTCAAAAACACCTTGGCAAAGTGTGTCTGCTGGTGCGCCTGTGGAGCGGAGGTGCATGCAGAACCAGCCGATCAAAAAGTGGATGCAAGCAGACCTATTTACCGGCATAGTAAACGGCATCAAAACGTAGTGAAACTCACCTCTTGCTGGCTGTCGCTAATTATGACAATGATGCAACTCTGCGCCCTGTGCCGAAAGGTTGACAGTATTTATACTTTTGTGTGTAAGAGGAGTACATGCCAGGCTCACCATGCCATTGAAAACAACCATAGAACCCAAAATGGTTTTGCAGGTATCACGTTTTGTTGAGGTGATCCACCAACAATGTGGTTTGACTTACACGATGTGCTGCAATTTTACAGCAGTGAATATAATTACTCTACATTTGTGAGAGATGCATAGTTTACAGTGACTACCAATCCATGTTACAATACAACTGTGTACAAAGTGAATGCATGTAAGCAAAGAAACCACACCAGAGAAATTGAGTCCTGAAATACATAGTCTGTTGCTGGGCAAGGTCAACTTCTATGATGCCAAGTAAGCAATGTAATTGAACAATTAAGAAATGTAATGCAATCAAGTTGCAACTTCTCTAGCATTATTTCCAGTTATTATTTCTAGTCCAAAGAGCTCAACATAAATATTAATGTTAATTCTTCAGGACGGAGCTTTCCTTAAAGCATCTGGGCCAGAAAGGCATTCTGCTAAATGTTATTATTGATTTTCCACTCAGTAAAGAGTGGGACTTGAGGCTCTCAGTAATATAACTTGGAAAACAGAAATCAAAATGAGAATCACACAAGAAAAAGTGTAATGATTCTGTGTGCCCTTCAGATCAAACCTATATTCTGATCAATCAGAAATAAGAGGGCATGCCTCTCTGTTTGATGTTGCTGGTTTTTGCACACACAAAAATAAATGCGTTTTTAAGGATCGTATCAGCCTGAAGGCAGACTTTTACTTGGTGATCCTCCTCATCATGAAACTGTTATCCTTCATTTCATTTTGCATTAAAGCACTAAGTTGGGCAAAATGAGTGCACATTTGATTTCTGAGACACATCACATTACATTCATTTGGCCAATAACACTTTTGCCCAATAAGTGCGTTCACTCTGGCCCTGACTTTGATGTTGAGATTATTACAAAATGTTTGGGCAAACTACTACTGTAACTTCCTTGTATGATAAACTCTAACATTTTATTAATGTTTAGTTTATAAACCAAACATTTATAAACACTGGGAAATTTATTTGGTACATAAGAAGTTTCTATGAAACAATCCCAGTTAACCTATACACTATTGTGTACCAAAAATCTAATATAAACTGATCAAACTGCTCGTAATTCATCAT